TCGGCCTTTGAGTGCCCTCTAAGAGCCAGCGAGGTGCGCAGAGGGGTGCAACCTGTCGCTGCAGGTGGAATCTTGGTTGTTAGGGCATTGGAGATGCTTTCATTTTTTAAAATGTCTTATTATTATTATTATTATTATTATTATTTGAGATGAAGTCTAGCTCTGTTGCCTAGGCTGGAGTGCAGTGGCACTATCTTGGCTCACCACAGCCTCTGACTCTTGGATTCAAGCAATTCTCATGCCTCAGCCTCCTTAGTAGCTGGGACTACAGGTGTGTACCACCACACCAGGCTAATTTTTGTGTTTTTTGGTAGAAACGGTGTTTCCTTATGTTGGTCAGGCTGGTCTTGAACTCCTGACCTCCAGTAATCCACCAACCTCAGCCTCCCAAAGTGCTGGGATTATAGGTGTGAGCCACTGTGCCTGGCCTTGCCTTATTATGTAGCATATATATGTATACATGATATCTAACAAAATCTATATGTAAGTTATGGAGCGTAATAAAAGCTGAACACCCATAAACCCACCAGCCATCACCCTTTCCTCCAGCTGTGCCCTTCCCTTCCCAACCCCATGCTCCCCATCTACTCCCCTGAATGCTGTTTTTTGTTGTGGTTATTGTTGTTTTGTCTTGTTTTTTGAAATGCAGTCTTGCTCCATCGCCCATGCTGGAGTGAAGTGACACGATCTTGGCTTACTGCAACCTCTGCCTCCCAGATTCAAGCAATTCTTCCTGCCTCAGCCTTCCAAGTAGCTGAGATTACAGGTGCCTGCCACCATGCCTAGCTAATTTTTGTATTTTTTAGCAGAGATAGGGTTTCGCCATGTTGGTCAGGCTGGTCTTGAACTCCTGACCTCAGGTGGTCTGCCTGCCTCGGCCTCCCAAAGTGCTGGTATTACATGAGCCATCGTGTTCGGCCCTGAATGCTGTTATTATTCCCTTAAAAAAAATTTCAGTATTTTGTGTGTATCTGTAAACATCACACTGATGAATGTTTCTTGTTGTAGAGCTTTATAATAACAATATCACCTAAATTTGAATTCAAGGGAAATGAAAACATGTCAGTGCAAATACCTACACCCAAAGCAGCATCGTTCAAAGCAGCAGAGACATGGAAGCACCCAAATGCCATCAGCTGGTGAACAGATGAGCAAACCACGGCACCTTGACACAGATGATTATTTGGCAGTAAAAAGGAATGAAGTTCTGATATATCCTACAACAAAGGGCGAACCCCAAAAACAGTGTGCTAAGTGAAAGAAGCCAGACCCAAAAGAATACATATTGTAAGATTCCATGTATAGGAAATGTCTAGAAAAGTCAAATCTATAGAGACAGAAGTAGATGAGTGGTTGCCTGGGCCTGGGGTTAAGAAGAAGGGGAAGTAACTGAAAATAGGCATGAGGTTTATTATGGGTGACAGAAACTTTTCTTTTCTTTTTTTTTATGAGCCAGAGTTGCGCTCTTACTGCCCAGGCTGGAGTGCAATGGGGCAATCTTGGCTCACTGCAACCCACTCCTCCCGGGTTCAAGCGATTCTCCTGCCTCAGCCTCGCGAGTAGCTGGGATTGCAGGCGCCTGCCACCATGCCCAGCTAACTTTTTGTATTTTTAGTAGAGACGGGGTTTCACCATGTTGGCCAGGCTGGTCTTGAACTCAACCTCAGGTGATCCGCCCACCTTGTCCTCCCAAAGTGCTGGAATTATAGGTGTGAACCACCGTGCCTAACCAGAAACTTCTTTCTCTCAATTATGTTTCTAAGACTTATTGTTGTTGCATACAGTTGTAGTTCATTTATTTTCACAACTCTGTAATAGTCTGTCACGTGATTATATCACAATCTACTTCTTTGATCTCCTGTCAATGAACATTTGAGTTACTTTTTGTTTTTTGCTATTACAAAATGATTTGCCAGGAACATTTTGTACAGGTCTCCTTGGTATACATAAGTAATTTTATGTCTGTTGAATCTAATAACAAGACATCAGGCCTTGTAAATTGCATATCTTATTCCATTTTTTAGTGTTTCATTTTTATTGTATTTACAAAAAGCGTTATTTCCCCAACAAACTGAAAATTAACACAAAAACAAGACAGGTCCTTCACCACAGTTTGAGAGAAGTACTGCTCAGGGAATACACTGAGACTAAAGTCACTGGGCCAGGCATGTGCAGGTGTTCAAAGGCACGCCAAAGTTCAAGGGTATCCAGAGGTCAAGTTGCTTTCAAAATAGTTACACTGATTTGCACTATTGAATGAGAGTTCACAGTAAATGAGAGTTCCCACGTTGCTCCACAGCTTCACCAACACTTACTATTGTCCAATTTTTAATTTTTTGCCAATTTGAGGGGCGTGACATATTTTCATCCCCTTGTTGCCAGTTAGGTTACACATCTGTGTGTGTGTTTACAGGACATGTCTGCTTTCTCTTCTGCGATATTCCTGTTTGCTTCCTTTGCCCATTTCTTTTCTTTCCCATACTGATTCTTGAGAGTTCTTTATATATTCTTTATATTAATCCTTTGTCATTTAAATATGTTGCAGATATCATTCCCTGTTTGTGACGTGTGTGAATTTTCTTGGTGGTGGGGCTGTCTTTTGATAAACAGAAGGTCTTACTGTGAATGCAGTTGGATTCTCTTTTCTCTTTCTTGGCCAGCTGCTCTTCACTCATGCTGTTTTCCTGGGCAAAGCTCTTGCATGGCCCTCATTGAACTGATAAGCCTGTTTTCATCTGCAGCCTGCTGCCTCCAGCCTCCTCTCAGTCCCACTTTATACTTAGTAGTTTTTTCCGGAGCTGATGTTTTCACCTCTGAGTCTCTCTGTTGCAAAGACCTCCTGTGTCTATTTGTAGAACCCCTGAGTCATTTCTCAAACCCCACTCTATCATAACCTCTGCTTCTCAGAAGCTCTTCCAGATCCCCAAAGCTGAGTCACTTCTATTCAGTCAACCCCAAGCTAGGCATCAGATGATTGATAGTATGTAGGTTTTTGATTACTAAAATGGGATAATTAGGCTAAGTGCGGTGGCTCATGCCTGTAATCCCCAGCACTTTGGGAGGCTGGGGCAAGCAGATCACTTGAGGTCAGGAGTTCGAGACCAGCCTGGTCAACATGGTGAAACCCACCTCTACTAAAAGTACAAAAATTAGCCAGGTGTGGTGGCCGGCGCCTGAATCCCAGCTACTTGGGAGGCTGAGGCAGGAGAATCATTGAACCCAGAAGGCGGAGCTTGCAGTGGGCGGAGGTTGCAGTGAGCTGAGGTCATGCCACTGCACTCCACCTTAGGCAACGGAGCGTAACAATCTCTCAATAAAAATAAAAAAAGATAAATGGGATAATCACTACTTTTAATAAGTGAAATTTATTTAATCTTAATTTTACATTTCAAAAAATGAGATTCCTTAAGAATGGGATGCTTGGAACAGGACAACGATGGGGAAACGCTGCTCCCTGGCCAGTCCTGTCTCTGGTATCCTTGACATCAGTCATCCTGCCCTCAAAATCTGAACGTTTCCAAGGACAGAAGCTTGCTATTTCTGTGGGCTGAGCCACTGTGGTTGTTAGAAACTGCCTTCTTATGCTAAATGTGTCTCCTGCCTCATCTTTAGGCTTGTTTTTCTTTTCTTTTCTTTTTTTTTTTTTTGAGACAGAGTCTTGCTCTGTCACCCAGGCTGGAGTGCAGTGGTGAGATCTCGGCTCACTGCAACCTCTGCCTCCCAGGTTCAAGCGATTCTTCTGTCTCAGTCTCCTGAGTACCTGGGATTACAGGTGTGTGCCACCATGCCCCGCTGATTTTTGTAGTTTTAGTAGAGACGGGTTTTTCCATGTTGGCCAGGCTAGTCTTGTGCCAGGTCAGGCTTATTGTTTTTCAGTTTCTAGAGAAACAACGAGTCTTTTCTCCTTGACACGGTCGCTTTCCAAGATGGGAGGCAGCAACCATGTCTAAGCACGTGTCTTTTTCTGCAGGAGAAACACAGTGCCTTCAGTGATTCCTGGGGAGAGAAGTTCTCTGTATCCTGACGCTCTGTCATCCTCTCGGGAATGGAGTGCAGATTTTCCACATCTCTCCTAAACTGTACTGCCCTATTTAAGTAAAGCCTCAGGGCTGGCCTAACAAGTGCAGAGGGACCCTAGTCCACGTAATGCAATTTCTTCCCTCAGTGCAGCCGAAGAGGGCTGGGTGGCTCCGGCAGCCTCCTCACCTGCTGTGGCTCATATAGAAACTGAAAGTCAATGCAGACCCTCAGATCTGTTCCGGGTGAAAAATGGCCAGTTTGTCAATATGCATCTGACATCTCCCTCTAAATGCTGACTGTCAATTCAATCTTAATTGCTTTTGACTCACTCAGCAATCCCATCTTAACTTTCACATCTTATTTTAACTCTTCCCCCCAGTTTTTGGTTGAGCACAAATTTACTAGGCAAGACATTGTTTTTAACAGTTGCTGACATGCCTGCGGGGAGGAGGGAACTGAATAGAGTTCTGGAGAGGGAGGGTGGTCGCAGCTTCACATTATGAACACATTTACTACCGTTAATATCACTGCGCACTTAAAAATGGTTAAAATGGCAAGTTTTATGTTATGTGTATTTTTTTAAAAATTTGAGATGGAGTCTCATTCTGTTGCCCAGGCTGGCATGCAGTGGCGCAATCTCAGCTCATTGCAACCTCTGCCTTCCAGTAGCTGAGCCTCCCAAGTAACTGAGATTACAGGTGTGTGCTGCCACACCTGGCTAATTTTTATATTTTTAGTAGAGACGGGGGTTTTACCATGTTGGCCAGGCTGGTCTTGAACTCCTGACCTACAGTGATCCACCTGCCTCGGCCTCCCAAAGTGCTGGAATTACAGGCGTCAGCCACTGTGTCTGGTTGTTATGTGTATTTCACCACAGTAAAAAAAAAAAAAAAAAAAAAAAAAATTATAAAAATTGGTGACATGTCAGGGACAATGCCATGTGGCAGCTCAGTGTTGTCTGGCCCTGTCTGCAGTGTATCCCGCTGTAGGATGTCAGGCCGGGAACCCCAGGAAGCAGGGGAAGAGAGGGAGATACCTCTTCATTCCAGGCCCAGGATACAGCCAGCTCTGCAGTGGTCTACGAACCATGACAATCTATCACTGCCTCCCAGGCCAGGAACATGTGAGTAAGCTTTGACGCATATCTGTCTTTTCTCCTATTGCCTAATCTTGCCTGGTCTTCATTAAAAATGTTTCCTTCTCTTTCTTACATTCATTCATTCCTCCATAGGTTTTCACCAAGACCTTTGAAGAGCAGACACTGACCCTGTGCCTGGACACCCCGGTGAGCAGGGGCAGCCTGGTCGCACTGTTACAGGAAAGGGTCCTGATCCAGACCCCAAGAGAGAGTTCTTGGATCTCTCTCAAGAAAGAATTCAGGGCGAGTCTGCAGTGCAAAGCAAAAGCAAGTTTATTAAGAAAGTGAAGTGTTGAAAGCACAGCTACGCCATAGACAAGAGCAGGGCGTTCCCAAAAGTAAGAGGAAGAGGGGACTCATGTGCTCTAGGTACAATGCTTGTATATATATAGGATAAAAAAAGATCATGGGGAGATGTGCTCTGCTACAAGGGTTGGTGATAAAAGATTCCTTTTTTAAATTACCATATTTTGCAGGAATCAATATTATTATTTGAATTATATACATATTTGAATTATTATTATTTGAATATTATCTTTGAAGCAAAATTAGGAATGCTTTTATTCTCAAGGTATCAGTATATCTGGACACTCCCAAGTGTGGGTTTGTTTAGTAAACATTATTTGTCTGTTCCCTTAACTGTAAACATCTAGAGGCTGGGAATACCTTTCTGGGAACGCAGCCCGGCAAGCCCCAGCTTCATTTTCCTAGCCCCCACTCAAGATGGAGTCGCTCTAGTTCAAAGGCCCCTGACACCACCTCTACAAGCTCCCGGGATGTTTCAAGGAGTCATTCCCAGAGAGGCAATGTAGAGGTTCAGGGCAGGCCCTGAGCCTGGCCACAGGTGACGCTTAGGCTGAGCCCTGCAAGGAGGGGTGGGAGTTCAGCAGGTGAGCTGTTGAAAGACTCACATTTCAAGCAGAAGGTCTAGAAAGATGCACTGACCTGGCTGGGCGTGGTGGCTCATGCCTGTAGTCCCAGCACTTTGGGAGGCTGAGGCAGGCAGATCACAAGGTCAGGAGTTCAAGATCAGCCTGGCCAACACGGTGAAATCCTGTCTCTACAAAAAATACAAAAATTAGCCAGGCATGGTGGCACGCACCTATAGTCCCAGCTACTCGGGAGCCTGAAGCAGGAGAATCGCTTGAACCTGGCAGGCAGAGGTGGCAGTGAGCCGAGATTGTGCCATTGCACTTCAGCCAGCCTGGACAAAAAGAGCAAGACTCCCTCTCAAAAGGGAAAAAAAAAATGTGCCCAAGCCTGGAAGGCGGTCCTGAACCTGCGCCTTCCTTTGAAGCCAGGCCTGGTATTTGCCGTGATCATGCCTCCTTCCCCCATGTCACCAACATTAACTGCCCTCCATTACCCGGTGCTTCATGGACGCTGCAGTGTGGCATGTGAAATGGCAATATGAGGCCGTGTCTACTGAGCCAGGCATCTTAGCGCTTTACACAGAGAAGTGAAACCTCCTGGCAACCCTGTGAGTTAGGTACCATTTGATTCCCGTTTTTCAGATAAGGAAATTAAGGCACAGAGTGGTTGGTAGGTAGACAAAGGTCACACAACGGGTGGAGGCAAAGCAGGACACGTGTCTCCGCTGGGAGCCACCAGCTGTCCCCTCCTTCTCCATCCCACAGATTGCGTGAGGCCTTGGGCTACGTTGGCTGGACAGTATCAAGTGTCACATTTTGTAGAGCCAGGATGTTCCTCCAGTCCTTTAATCCCAAATCTTTTTTTTTTTTTAGACAGAGTCTCACTCTGTCACCCAGGCTGGAGTATAGTGGCAGTGCAATCTCAGCTCACAGCAACCTCTGCCTCCCAGGTTCAAGTGATTCTCCTGCCTCATCCTATAGGTGCATGCCACCATGCCTGGCTAATTTTTGTATTTTTTGTAGAGATAGGGTTTCACTATGTTGGCCAGGCTGGTCTCGAACTTCTGACCTCAAGCTGTCCACCCACCTGGGCCTCTCAAAGTGCTGTGATTACAGGCATGAGCCACCGTGCCTGGCCCAATTCCAAATCTTAAATCTGCTTCTCCTGTTTCTGCCTCTAGTGAAATTAAAGATCCATCTGCTGCTGTCCCCGTGGGAAAGTGAACAGGGACGACACCTCTCGCCAGCTCTGGGTGGCCCCTGTGGCTCTGCCCTTTGCTGCCCAGCTCAAGTCCTCCTCAACATCCCTCTTCTCTAGCCCAACTCCACTCTCCCCACCTGAGTACAGACCCTCGTCATTCCCATTTTGCCCCTTCCTCTGGTCCCCCAGCCCTCCTCCCTAGTGTATTTTATACACGGCTCGGAGGATGCTCCAGTCTGTTCACTTAGCCCCTGCCCCGGTGTCTCCTCACCTTGGCGATAAAATCCACACTCCTGAGTGTGAGTGCAAAGTCCTTCCTGGCATGGCCCCTGCCTCCTCCGTTTCCCCAGGCCTTGATCTACTGCACAAGTCCCTCTATCAGCAGCTCCCAAAGGCCAGCTCCCTGGCAGGGCTGATCCCGATAAAGTGTTCCACAGTCAGCAATATTGAGGGAAAAGCAGCAATACTGATTTATAGACACGAAATCAACCAGATGTATCAGCCAAGTTGCCAGTTTTCCTTTCTTGGTTACAATATCTTTTATTTCAATAGCCTTTTGATTTATTTTTTGTAGTTGAGATATTATTACTTCTTTTGTAAAACGGTGGTGAGAATAAAAGACTATTTTTTTTGAATGTCCTTACTTGGCAAACTAAAAAATGTTTGCAACCCTCGTTAGACTCCATTTTCATCCTGCCAACTCAGTGGTCTGCAGGGGCTGCCCCGCAAGTGTCCACACGGATGTGGCTCCCTGGGCTGTTCTCTCTTCTGCCCGGAATGTGCCCCTCGCACCCCTGATGTCTTGCTCATCCCCCCTGTCCCTCAATGCAGGTCTTCCCTGACTTTTTTTTTTTTTTGAGGTGGGGTTCCGCTCTTTTTGCCGGGGGCTGGAGTGCAATGGTGCGACCTCGGCTCATTGCAACCTCCGCCTCCCGGGTTCAAGTGATTCTCATGCTACAGCATCCAGAGTAGCTGGGATTACGGGCAAGTGCCACCACACCTGGCTAATTTTTTGTATTTTTATAGAGACCGGGTTTCACCATGTTGGACAGGCTGGTCTAGAACTCCTGGCCTCAGGTATCTACCTGCTCTCCAAAGTATTGGGATTATAGTCATGAGCCATCGTGCCCAGCCTTCCCCGACCTTCTTTCCCCAAAAACCTGTCCTCGAAAGAGTGCAGCACCCAGCCCTCCGCACTGCCACCATCCACACATCTGCCTCCCTGTGGGCCTCTGGTTGGTGGAAACCAGGCCCCCTCTCATTAGCTGTTCCAGAGCCTAGCCCAGTCCTGACTGCCCATGCACAGGGCAGGTTTGCAAACAGCCTGACGGAGAATGCCTGACTCCAGCCTCCTCCTTAGCAGCAGCTGGAGGTGGGGGTGGGGCACTCAGGCCTCTGCTGGCCTCACCTGTCCGTGTCAGTGCAGCTGAACTGGGCTCACCAGGCACTGCCTGCTTGCTGGGCCTCAGCACCACTGAGGGCTCCAAGGACCCCAGCTGGATGCCGCGGACCCCTCTCCGCCTCCACTGGGAGCTCAGGGACTGGGGCGCCTGATCTGGCCCTAAAGCCCCACAACGCTGATTTGTGCCTGCGAGTTTCTTCCTCATTGTTCCCAGACAGGGGCCAGGAAATGGGATGAAAGCAGCCACTGTCTGAAGAGCTGGAGACCATCATCTGCCTCCAGAAGCCCAGGGAACTTCAGGTCAGAGAGGAGGACAGAGATGGAGGAAGGGAGAAAGACTGTGACTAAGAAGCAGAGGAGGGTGACAGAGTTGGAGAGGAACAAAACAGCCTGCCATGGGAGCAGAGACAGAAACATGGGGGACCCACAGGGAGGGAGGGAGGGAAGGAGGGACAGCTGCCGTCTGAGTGGCCACGGGAGCCTGGGCTGGGGAGGAGCACCCTCCTCTCGGCTTCTCACCCTATCTCTATCAGGAGACCGAGGAGGCAAATTCATCTTTGGGTCCACCCCTCTGCTCTAGAAGTCTAGGGCCTGGCAAAGCCCTCTGAAGGGGCCTCTGGCCCCTGGCAGCTTCCTGCCCCGCTGCGTGGTCCCCTGAGCCCTTCTCAAGAGCCTTTCAGTTTTTAGTTTTTAGCTCACTCGGAGCCGTTTGCTTTAAGAAGCACCTCTCGAGAGGGCCTTTCATGCAGATATTACAGGCAAAAAGTGTCATGTTTTGGGGAACATGGCAGCGGACTTCTGGGGCCATGTGAGGTCCCCACATGCTGTCCCCCTCATGACCAGGGTGGCTGGGTTGACAGATGTGCAGGGAGGAGAGAAGGCATCGCCCCGATGCCTTCTCTCTGATAGTTAGCTGGCAGGAAAGGCTTCGGTGGCCTCCAAGGAGAGACCCCAAGAGGAACGTGGATGGGCTTTGGCTGGGGGAGGCTGGTGCTGACCTGGCACTTGGACACTATGGGGGTGCAGTGGGGGACAGCATGGGGGGTGCAGTGGGGGACAGTGGGGGACAGCGTGGGGGGCGCAGTGGGGGACAGCATGGGGGTGTCTTGGGGGTCTTTAGCACTGAGCACTAAAGAGCTTAGGAGCCTGGACTAATTGGTGTGGGGCAATCACATTTGCTGCCGTGTCCAGGCAAGGAGGAGCAGCTGGGCTTGGACCCCAGGGTGATGGGAAGTAGCCAGGAGTGCGTGCTGGGCCAGTCTGAGCCCTGGGGTGCTTGGATTTATCAGCTGAAGGGGATATGGAAGGGGAGAGAAAAATCCTCCAGAGATGAGAGCACTCAGTGGCATCCACCTGGACCTGACATCACACCCCAGGCTGTTAAGCCTAATAATGACTTAACATATTAAGCCTAATAATGACTTATTGGAGTCTCCTTCCAACAGCTGTGGGCCCTGGAACCTAAGAACCCACCTTTGGAGAACATTCTTGGGTCTGAGAACTTTGAGGCCAGACCTTGGGCCAAATCTACTCAGAAGCCCTGAGCTCCCTCTTGCTGTAAGAGTAGGAGGGCCCTGCTGCTACTCTGGGAGCAGCCCCTGAATCCCTGGAAGGCAGCAGGCACTGACTGATCCGTGGAGCAATGAGGCCAGAGACTGAAATCAGCTGGAACCGGGAGACCAGCTGAGCATGTGAGTCCCCTGGCTCCAGGCCGCCTCTGAGAGTCTCCCAATGGCTGGCAGAGATTGGAGGACTGTGGCTTCTTGCATGGAGGAGCCTCTGCGTTACAGTCACTGTACCCTTTGAATCTAATCTGCTCTCGACAAGGATCAGCTGACCTGATAGGAGTGCTCAAGGCAGGAGGCAGCGGCCAGGGCTAAGGTCAAGAGAAACAAAGGCTGCAGTAGAGAAGGGAGCAGAGTCAGGTGAAACCTCTCACTCAGGACAACTGTGCAGCTGACTTGCTGCGACTTTGGAGGAGTCACCAAGGTCAGTGTGCCCAGTTGGGGCATCCTCCAGGCTTCAGCTCCGTTGCCCTGCAGTTTTGGCTCAGAGCAACCGCCACATCCTCACTGCTTTCCTGGGACGAGGATCTGGGTGGAGAACCAGGGGCTGGGTGTGCGGCCAGAGCTGGGGCAGCTTTGGGAGCCAGATGAAACCTCAGAGCCTCACAAGCTTTGAACAACGTGCAGGAGCCCCAGCCCTGCCGTTTGTGGTGAGTTCCTGGAGGTGATCAGATGGCTGTCACTATCAGCAGCGCCTCGTCTTCCCCCTCCAAATGTTTATGTCTGCTGACACCACCCAAGGCCATGGTCATCGCTCCGCTCCCCCCAGGCCTCACACCCTTGCTTCCCTGTCCTAGATGGCTGGGGCTGTTCCTGCTCTTCACACTGCCCCCAAAGCTCACAGAGCAGCTGACTGACTGACCTACCAACTTAAGGGGAAACGTGGGGAGGTGGAGACTGAGGACGTGCCTGGGACACAACCTCTTCGTGATTTCCTCCCTGGAGGGGAGAGGTGGCCAGGGCAATACGATGCTGGGGCTGCAATGCCCCCCACTCAGCTGCAGCATTGGCCGCAGGGCAAACCTCTGGGGCAGATGAGGGAGCTTGGCTTGATGTCCAGGTTCAATGGCAGGTGATGGATGTAGTCAGGCACAGCTACAGCCATGGGTCTGTAGAGGCTTCCTAGATTCCAGGAATCACTGGTGGGGTCCCTGCTACACACCTCACGTTTCCAACCTCTGCCCTCTCTGATGGCCCGCTGGCACTCCTGCCTGCCTATCTCTGCACACTCAGCAACTTTCCCTGCTGATGGGGACAGGAGTGGACAAGGGCAGGGCAGGATGGAGACACCACACACATTCCTGCTCGGGGCCTTTGCCCTCCCGCTTCCCTCCATGGGAGTGGCCTCCCCTAGACCTTCATGGGGCCTGTGCCTCCAGTTCTCCCTCCCCAGAACCTTCCCAGTGCCCCCAACAAGAGCCTGCCCTCGCTTGATGCTCAGCCCCCTTCTGCTTTTTCTTCATGCTGCTTGTTAGGTCGAACACAATACCTGTGTTTCAAAACACGTGCAGTTAGGTTTCTGTGCACGTATGTAGACATATATACACATGCATACTTATGGATTGTAATTATATGTAGTATGTTACTTTTTTCTGAGATAGTCTTGCTTTGTCACCCAGAGTGCAGTGGTGCGATCTCAGCTCACTGCAACCTCTGCCTCTCGGGTTCAAGTAATTCTCGTACTTCAGCCTCTTGAGCAGCTGAGACTACAGGTATGTGCCATCACGCCCGGCTAATTTTTTTTTCCTTTTTGTATTTTTTTAGTGGAGATAGGTTTTGCCATGTTGGCCAGGCTGTTCTGGAACTCCTGGCTTCAAGTGATCTGCCTGCCTTGGCCCCCCAAAGGGCTGGGATTATAGGTGTGAGCCACCACGCCCCATTAGTTTACCTTTTAACTCTCTGTCTCCCCACTTGTAAGTTACATAAAAGCAGGGACCTTGTCTGTCTGATCTATATCTGTCTCTCCAGGACAATGCCTGGCACACAGCAGGTGGCAGTAAGCCTTTGTTGGAAGAAAGGAAGGAGAGAAAACAGACCTCCTCTGGATCGGTCCTCGGCTCCCTCATGCTGATCTGCAATCTGTGACCCAGGCTCTGCACTGCTCCAAAGGGTAGGCTCCCCAGAGGGCTGCCGGGAGTGAACTGGACAGCTGGGGAAGCCCACTGCTTTGGTCGCCTCTTGCCTTGGGTGCCCAGGGCTGTCATGCCACCTCCTTCATGAAGCTGATCCCCAGCCTTGCTTCTCAGTCCCTTGTCCCATTCCCTTGGGCCCAGCAGAGGTAAAAGGGGCTTAACTGTCCTGGCTGTCATGGTTTCTCCATCCCTCTTGCAGTGGTTTTGGCTCTTTTTGTCTGTCTTGTTTTTCACAGACTGGACCAGCCTTGGAGTTAACCAGGGACAGGGTGACACCTCACAGGCAGTGATGTCCCTCAGCCTCCTTCCTGCCACGTTCCAGAGGCTGCAGGTGCCTCACGGTCTTCACCATGGCTCTGAAAGCCTTATGGGTGTTGCTGGCTGTTCTGGCAGGTCCTGCCGGGGCTGCTGCTTTCCTTTCCCTTCCCCTGAAGCTGGGAGAGAGATTTTCTCCCTGAGTGATTAATTGGTCTATTATTTATTTATTTTATTTTTTTGAGATGAAGTCTAGCTCTGTTGTACAGGCTGGAGTGCAGTGGTACAATCTAGGCTCACTGCAACCTCCACCCCCCAGGTTCAAACAATTCTCTGCCTCAGCCTCCTGAGTAGCTGGGATTACAGGAACATGCTGCCATGCCTGGCTAATTTTTGTTAGTAGAGATGGGGTTTTATCATCTTGGCCAGGCTGGTCTTGAACTCTTGACCACGGGATCCACCTGCCTCGGCCTCCCAAAGTGCTGGGATTACAGGCATGAGTCACGGAGCCCAGCCTAATGGGTCTATTTTAAGTTTATCAAAGTAATCCCTTTCAAGTTTCTCAGGGAGCAGGCCCAGAAGATGATGCCCCCGGGCTTAAAGCTGCTCCCACCGCAGGGGGATGTGTCTGTCAATTGTGAGGTCCCTCAGGGCAGGTCCCCTCCCGATCTGGAGAGGGTGTGACTCCAGCGTGCTGATTCTGCAACCTGTGGCTCAGCTCTGCACTGTTCCTCTGGCTCCAGCAAATCATCATGAAAATAAGCCCAGGAGCCCCAAGGGTTGCAGGTCAGGCCCCTACAGCCTTCCTTTGCATCATCCTTGCTCCTCTAACCAGGGGCACTGCTGCCTGTCTCTGCTGGGTTAACACCTGAGCATCTTCTAGCTTGATAATTCTGTGCCGTGGCCCAGTAAGCCTTCCCTGACCCTGACATCTGGGTTGACGTTCCCTCCTACGCACTGTACCTAATCCTGGTTTCCCCTCTGTATGGTGTCAGAGATGGGCTTGGCCAGAGTGTTTCAAAGGCTCGCCCCAAGTCTCTGTGCAGCTCCCTGAGGAAAGGCCTGTGAGAACGGGGTCTTGTTCACGGTTCCCCAATATCTCACCTGTGCCTGGCACAGAGAAGGTGAGATATTGGGAAAATAAAACTTTCCCAAGAATGAGTGGTATGCGTTTGAATCTTACAGTGTCTGAGGACTGGGCATCCATCTCTGATGCCTTTGTATCCTCTGCTGCCTAAGGTTAAGGCCTCTGCCTGAAGTCCCTGCTGAATGAGGTTAACTGGTTCAGAGATGAGGGGGGAAGCCATTGCTGGGAGGGGCTAGCACTGCAGGAGGCCCCAACCCCATCTGTCCCACACCTGAGCAAGAGGAGCAGGACTGTCAGATGAAACACAGGATGTCTGCTCACATGTGAAGAATACATCTTTTTTTTTTTTTTTTTTTTTTTTTTTGAGATAGATTCTTGTCTGTCACCCAGGTTGGAGTGCAGTGGCATGATTTTGGCTCATTGCAACTTCCACCTTCACCTCCTGGGTTTATGTCATTCTCCTGTGTTAGCCTCCCCAGTAGCTGGGATTACAGGCGCCCACCACCATGCCTGGCTAATTGTGTTTTTAGTAGAGATGGGGGTTTCACCACATTGGCCAGGCTGGTCTTGAACTCCTGACCTCAAGTGGTCAGACTTACTCAGCCTCCCAAAGTGCTGGGATTACAGATGTGAGCCACGGCACCCAGCTGGAATACATCTTTAGTATACTGCATGTAATACCTGGGACATGCTCATGCTAAAAAAACTAACTGAATTTCTTGAATTTTTTTTGAGACAGTCTTGCTCCATCGCCCAGGCTGAAGTGCAGTGGTGTAATGTTGGCTCACTGCACTTCCACCTCCAGGGTTCAAGCACTTCTGTCTCAGCCTTCCAAGTAGCTGGGACTACAGGTGGCTGTCACCACACCTGGCTAATTTTTGTGTTTGTAGTAGAGACCGGGTTTCACCTTGTTGATCAGGCTGATCTCGAACTCCTGACCTCAGATGATCCACCCACCTCGGCCTCCCAAAGTGCTGGGATTACAGGTGTGAGCCACTCATGCAGCCTGAATTTGAATGTAACTGGGAATCCTTTTTTATTTTTCCTCTACTTTCTGAATCTGGTAACCCTAGCAAGGGGGAAGTGACTACCCAGGTGCCAGGTGGGTGTCTGCCCGAGTCTCCAGCTCTGCTCACATTCTGCCCGCTTCCTTGATGCTTCCTGCTCCTTAAATGCTTTCTGTCAGAGACCAGGGGGCACTCTAGGTGTGGCTTCCCAGCACGAGGAATCCAGGAGCACTCCTACCTCCCAAACCATGCCCCAGCTGCCCTCTGGATGGTCAGGGAAGGCCTTCTGAGGAGGTGATTGCTTGAGCTGGGATTTGAAAGAATGAGCCCAGTGATGATCCAGGAAAGAACATTCCATGGAGAGACGGGAGTGAACTTGGTGCGTCTGAGAGCAGAGAGGCTCCAAGGTGTGGGAAGGGAGGGGTTTCCACAAGAAACACAGTCAGCATTTCAACTCAGGAGGCTTAAGCTCATCTTGGGCCGCTTAAGAAAGGACAGGAGGGGTCTTCTCCTTTCCCACCTTTCCCAAGCTGAAGGAGTGCACGCTTCTTAGGCTTCCAAGCCAGGAGCTTCGGCAGCAGGGATGGGGTTGGAAGGCAGTCATTCTGGGTGTCTGCTGTCCTGGGCTGGGGAATCCGGCAGCTGGGGCAAGGCCTCCAGGCCCTGGTGCTGGACAGCAGTTTGGTGGCATTGCCTGTTCTTTAAAATGGGTTGGGTGTAGCCATGAGCTCCCCATGCATCGGGTGTGCAGGCCTCTCCCTCACTCAGAACACCCTCACCCACCCCGACCCACTTGAAGCAGGCCCCTGAGAACACTGCTGGCAGTGAGACAGCTGCTCTCCCTCCTAAAGGAAAGGCCTGCAGGCCAGTGCTGCCAGGGCGCGGGGCATGGGGGAAGCTAACGGGTCCCCATCATCCCTCAGCGGGAGTCTCTCCTGGCTTTGGAAGGGGCTGAAGGCCCAGGGCTGTCACCAGGGAACTCAGACTTACTCAGCCTGTGCCGAGGACTCCTCCTCCAAGTCCGAACCCACAGACCAAACAAAGGACATGGCTCAGTTCCATGTTCAATCCACAGGCATTCTGCCTGTTAGCACGCTACGGAAGCTGTTTCTTACCTTAAATTACCCATTCATTTCCTCCAACTTAAAGATACCCTAAACATTTTCTGTTTCTGGAGGGTTTAAGTGTGGTCTGAGGGGCTGGGCTCCGGCTGTGTCTGCCCGTGGGAAAGTGTGCAGTGGACATGCCTGTGCGTCTTGCATGGCGCTGGAGACTCTGCTTTCTGTGTACTAAGCGAGTACTGGATCCCCAGGGCCTCCCTTGCCCACTGCCTGTGGGAAGCCCACGGTCTACACAAAGGACATCCAAGTAAGCAGATCTTCCTGCCTCCCGCCCGCTCCACCTCAAGAATCTTGGTGCCGGGAGGGCAGGTGGGGGAGGGCGTCCCTGCGCTGAGGCCGGTTTCCCTTAGCGGGGAGGAAACCCCATTTCCCTCCTACCCCTAGGCGCTGCTACATCTGGCCCGTCATCAGACAGGAAAGAACCCTTTGTTCCCAGCTTGTAGGAAATCTTGAGCTGGATCCCTTATCTACCCACAGCACTTCCTGGACAGAGGGCCTGGACCCGGCTCCGACGGGGCTGGCTCCCGATCTTGGTCTTGGCCTCCGCAGCCACCTGTGTTCCCCGGAGGCTGCTCTGTGGGAGCGGGGGCGAGGGTTAGTCCCGGCCTTCCCGACAGTGTCGTCTCCCCCGTGGGGGCTGGGGAGACACCCAGTGGCCTCCTGGACCCGGGCAGGGCGAGGGCAGGGCAGGGAAGAAGGTAGAGAGCAGAAGGGGAGGCCTGGAGCCAGAAAATCAGGAAGCGCAGGGCTAGGCCTGGGAAGGGCGGCGGGTCTCGCCCCTGGCACCCGCTTTCCTCTGAGCCCGGCGGCCCATCCAGCCCATCTGGCAGACCCCAGGTCCTTTGTGCCCGGCCCACCGGCCCCGCCCCAGCCCGGGAGAACCCCGCGGCCCTCGAGGCAGCCCCGCGGGCCGCAGGCCCCACGAGCCCCCCAACGTTGGGGCCCAGTAGGGAGGGTCGCAAGGCCCTGATGGCGAAGGTTTCCCGAACTCGGGTCCAGAGGCCGGGCTCACGGCAGCCGCGGTTCGCCCAGTTGCGAGCCCAGAGCTGGCAGGGCCGGGTCCCGAGCGCGGCCGCCACCGCGGGGACCTGGCGCATGCGGGGCAGCCCCGGGGCCGCGTCCTGAGCCGGGGTGCGGGCTGCGTGCGCCACTTCCGGCCGCAGGACCCCGCCCCGCCCGCCGCCTGGTTGCCATGGCGACGCCGCAGCGCCGAGGCCCGCGGAACCTGCTGAGCGACTCGGGCGCGGCGCGTGGAGGCTCGCGGGACGCTCGGGTAGGCGAGGTAGGCGGCCGGGCCGGGGCTGGGAGCGGGGGGCGGCCCAGGTGAGTCCCGACTGCGCAGGGAGGGACCGCGCCCGGCTCCTGAGCAGCAGCCGGCCTCGCACCTGCCCCCTGAGGCTGCGCGCCGGACTCCGGCGCCGACCCGCACCCCGGGACCTCTCAGAGCCGCTGCCTCTCCAGGTCCGGGCGGCCTCCGCCCTGGCCTGCCCCGGTGCCAGGTGTCTGCTGAAGTTAGAACCGAGACCCCGTTTGCCGGGGACCCGGAGTTTGGATCTTTGCTCCTGCGCCGCGTTCTAGAGCAAGGTAGGGTGTAAGTGGATCAACCAGCCTTTGGCATGGCTGCCTTCTTGAAACCTGAAACCGGAGCCACCGCCTCCTGCCCGGAGCAGGGCCTGGGCTGCAACGTGGAGCCGCAGGTCCCCGCCTGGGTCTCCTGACGTCCCCAGCTTCAGAGCTCGAGGGTAGCAGTTGCCCGAGTGGGAAAGCCCCACTCCTTCAGTGGCCTCGGTGGGCCTGTGATGGGTCTGACCGGTGCCAGCTGCGCCAAGGGTGGAGCTGCCGCCACCTTGACACCTGGGAGATGGCAGGGCCACCCTCCCTCACTCCCTGCCCCGTCCCCCACTGCATCACGGAGCGAGGATTGTCCGTGTGGATCTGGGGTCCCCTTCCCAGGCTTCTACCTTCTGGTCGCCCCCTCCTCTCATTCATTCCACCTTGGCAGCCTTTGTGGATTTTCTGAATCCGTAAATGAAGTTACATCTAGGGTGCCTAGATTTTGCCCCTTTGTTTTCATAGCTAAAGAAAAAAAGAAAAACTTTGCCACCTCCTCTAGATGCCTGGATTTCTCCTGTGAAATTGGATGGAGGCAGGAAAATACCACGTGGCTGCGGCCCCACCCCCTTGCAAGAGGCGCCTCCTAGAGCTGGAGGTGGAACCACACTGCTTGTCCCACTCCTTTTCTTTGTTTATTTTTATTTTTTATTTTTTTGAGATGGAGTCTTGCTCTGTCGCCAGGCTGGCACGATCGCAGCTCACTGCAACCTCTATCTTCCAGGTTCAAGCTATTATCATGCCTCAGCCGCCCGAATAGCTGGGATTACAGGCATGCACCACCATGCCTGGCTAATTTTTGTATTTTTAGTAGAGACGGGGTTTCACCATGTTGGCCTGGCTGGTCTTGAATTCCTGACCTCGAGTGATCTGCGTGCCTTGGCCTCCCAAAGTGCTAGGATTATAGACGTGAGCCACCACACCCAGCCTTGTCCTACCACTTTACTGTCCCCACCACCTTCCCTTGGTAGGCAGAGCTTGGGCTCATGTTAATACCAGGTGGTTCGGTGGCATTAGATGGCACTGGTGAACGGGAATGAGAAATTAACCCCCTCTAAAAGCACAGTTTCACTGGGAAAAAGTACTCCACTGTCTGAGCAATTCGTAAGTGAATTTTAGGAATATAAAACATCACAGATTAAAAGCAGACCATCCTGCATTCTTCCCAGCCCCAGGAGTTTCTGCTCAGTGTGGGGGGCTGATGGTGGACAGAAAGGGAGTGTGGATTTATTAGAGTCGGCTGCCATCTGGCTCTCTGTGGCCCCAAACCTCTTGTGTCTGCAGTGTGATTCTCCTGAGGTGCTCTTGGGACAGATTTTGTGTTTGTGAGATTGGTCTTTGATGAAGTGCTGACTGCATGGTAGACACTGTGCTGGATGCTAAAACGTTTATCTACTAACTCTTTCTGTGGTCAGTAAGGTAGATCCAGATATCTTCCCACTTTATAGATTAGGAAGCAGGCTTGGAGAAGGGACTTGGCTTGTCCAGGAGCTGACGGTTATAAATAGTGAGCCTGCTTTGAAATCACACCTCTCTAACCTGGGCTGCACTGGGCCTTTCATGAGCCATTGGCCTTCTGGTCTTCATAGGCGCCTTCCTCCATAAAAATATAATAAAAATTCAGGGCTGAGCACTGTGGCTTACGCCTGTAATCCCAGCACTTTGAGAGGCTGAGGCGGTTGGATCACGAAGTCAGGAGTTTGAGACCAGCCCTTCCAATATGGTGAAACCCTGTCTTTACTAAAAAATGCAAAACTTAGCTGGGCATGGTGGCACGAGCCTGTAGTCGCAGCTACTCAGGAGGCTGAGGCAGGAGAATTGCTTGAACCCAAGAGGTGGAGGTTGCAGTGAGCCGAGATCGTGCCACTGCACACCAGCCTGGGTGACAGAGTGAGACTCCATCTTAAAAAAAATAAAAATAAAATTTATGTTTTACAACTGCATTGGTATAAAGGCAAGTATAATCCAGACTGGGTTACAATAAAAAACAAAACATTTTAGGGCTGGCTTATGTCTGTCTGTAATCCCAGCACTTTTGGAGGTCAAGACCGGAGGACTGCTTGAGACCAGGAGTTTGAGACTAGCCTGCAAAACATAATGAGACCCTATCTCTCAGGGAAAAAAAAAAAAAAAAAAAAAGTATTAACTGGGCATTTTAGCATACCTGTAGTTCTAGCTGCTACTTGGGAGGCTGAGATGGAAGATTCCTGGAGCCCAGGAGTCCGAGGCTGCAGTGAGCTATGATCATGCCACTGTACTCCAGCTTGGGTGACAGAGTTAGACCTTATCTCAAAAATAAATAAATAAATAAAAAATAATAATTAAAATAAGTTTAAAAAAAAACACTTGGGAGGCTGAGGCAAGTGGCTCACCTGAGGTTAGGAGTTCAAGACCAGCCTGGCCAACATGGTGAAACCCCATCTCTACTAAAAATACAAAATTAGCCAGGTGTGGTGGTGCACATCTGTAATCCCAGCTTCTTGGGAGACTGAGGCAGGAGAATTGCTTGAACCTAGGAGGTGGAGGTTGCAGTGAGCCCAGATCACACCACTCCAGCCTGGGCAACAGAGTGAGACTCTGTCTCAAAAAAAAAAAAAAAAAAAAAAAAAATTGCAACATTTTCCTCAACCCTAAATGTTCATTTTTTCTTGTGATTTTCATGGAAATGGAAACTTTTTGTTTGTAAGCATTGGGAGTCCCCTGTCTGGTGGGAGAAAGGAGCTCAGTATTTGACTTCAAGCTCTGCTGCTTCCCGGGTACCTGGTTCCTTGGTGCTTGGTCCAAGCAGTCCGGATGCCCTCGGTCTCTGGGCTGCATGGGCCAGGACAGCCACCGTGGGAGCAAATGGAAATGCAGATCTCTCAGCTTGTTTGCCCCCTCCTGTAACACCTTCTCTCTTACCCTGCCCTCCGGTCCAGGCCTGTTGTCTCTGAGGGCACCTGTGCTTAGTGCCATGCTGGTACCGAGGAGGGAGGACACAGGAGGACTGGCATGGAAGGGGGAGCACCGCCCGGGAAACCCCTTCTTTCTAGGGCAACTGGGGTGCTAAGAAAGTACCTAATAGCTCACACCACACTTTGCTTTCTCCTTCATCACATGGTAGGATGTTCTGGGGCGATTGAGCTGTTTTCCCCTCTACCCATCAAGAAGTGATGTCATCCGTTCGTCAGTCGCAGTCTTTCCTAACTCAATTCAAACCCTGCTGTTGATAAGGAGGGCTGCGGCCAGCACAGGCCGCCCACTTCCCAGCCTCCCTGCTCCGCCTTCCACCCCCCAGGCTGTGCGCCATGTGCAGTGTCTGGTCCCCAATAATCATATTAGTCCTGGTTGCCTTTTAATAAAACGCAGTGGACGCAGGGAGGGAGAGTGATGCTCAGCTCCGTTAAGCCTTGCGGGTCCTGCTGTCCTTAACACGCTGATTGCATTAGGTGGACTCTGACTGCAGGCGGTGGGAATGGGTGGGGAGGAGGGTGCCTCTCACAGCTCTCAGTTCCAGAAACTGCCAGAGATGAGTCACCCTCATCCTGAGCTCTCACAGAGGAAGCCAAGTGACTGGGAGGGCTACGTGCGCTCCCTTTGGTCGCCAGGTTCTGGTCTGCCAGGCAGCGGAGCCCTTGGGGGTGGGGAGTGGCGGCTTCTAGGCCTTGAAGCTGCTGCCCACAGTTCTGCTCTGAGAACCCAGAGGGGCCAAGAACAGCCGGAGTCCCAGGGCCACCCAGTGAGGAGGGAAGGGTGAGAGAGGATTCTCGCTGTCAAGACTGGGAAAGGAGGGCCATGGTTCAAAGGCCCTTGCTTCCTTGGGAGTGAATCTCACCTGAGGTCCAGGTTTGCAAATGCAGCAGACACGTTTGTGGGTGGGTCCACTTCTGTCCAGAGACATTGGAATGTCTATCCCTGTAAATCCCACCCCTGGCATGGGACACGGCCCCTCCTCGCACACAAATGGGTTATCAATTACGTCGAATCAATGGCCTTGCGAGCGCCCTGTTTCGGAAGGGATCTTCCATGCACCTCCTGTAAAGCACAGAGCCACACTCAGAACCTGCAGACCTCGGTGGCCTGCAGGCCAGCCAGGGACTTTCCTGCCATCCTCACACTTAGAAGCCTCGCCTTCTAGTCAGGAACGGGCCACTGCCATTCCAGAGGCCACTGTTGATCTCTGGATGCCCCCCAGATGCGCGCATGCCCCGGGTCCCTGGGTCGCAGAAGCCAGGACAACCACCTTCAGAGCAAATGGAAATGCAGCTCCCTCGGCTTGTTGGCCCTCCTTGAAACCCTTCCCTCTTGCCTGTGGTCAGGACCCACTGTCTGCACGTACCAGTGCTTGGTGCGAACCGAGGTGGAACTGAGGCAGGGAGGACGCAGGGAGGACTGGCACAGGAGGGGAACACCACCTGGGAGCCCTGCGTCCAGGCAGCTTCCCCAGCGAGCGCCGACACAGACTCTGGCTGGCTTCAGTCTCTGGAAAGCCTGATGGCACCACCCTAGTTCCTGGGCCTTAGTAAGGCCAAAGCCACAGCAGCAGCAGGCAGCCACTGCTTGGCAGGAGAGCTGGAGACGCTGCCGCCCACAGACATAAAAGCAGGGGTGCCATCTTCCGTGTGTGCATTAGGATGGGTCTTGGAGGCCCGGATCAGCTCTTGACTCAAACTTGTACCACCCTTACCTGAAAATCTGCATCGCACAGAAGCTTATCTGCAAGTCCCTTGAGGGCAGGGACCAGGCCCCCTCTGCACCTGGCTGAGTCTGCACTCGTGCGGGTTGAGTTGAGCTCCTATTTGCTGATGGGAATTTGGGGGCATGTCTCTTGTCTTTGTTGAGCCCCCATTTTCTGGTGGGTCAAATTGGGTCAGTGCTCCTATTATCTGCACAGTGTCATTTAAGGGTGACATGTGAGAGGGCGTGAAGCACCCAGCACAGAGCAGGGGCTCACAGGCTGTTGGGTCCCCACCCTCCTGACACACCAAGCACGTGTCCACTGGGACACAGTGGGAGCAGACTGACTCAGGGCTGCGACTCCCCAGGAGGCCAGGCTGGGCATTTCAGCATAGGCAGTTGGCCCTCCGAGAAGAGATCCTGGCTCTGGTGTCTGCCTGTCCCCGGGGAGCCTGGTGGGAAGGAGGGAATGGGCAGTGGCTCCTTGTTCTGCTGGCCTCTTCTGCCCTTTGTACTCCATGAGGCATGGGGAGGTTGTTGGGTCGCCCAGCGGAGGGAGGGGTGATGTCCTCTCTGTTCTTCCTAATAGGAGCTAATCAGATTCTGCCTGCAGCCGGGCTCTCTGGGGATGAATCTAATAAAGGAGGCGGTGGCCTGGAGAGGACAGATGATAAGTGACTGGGGGGACAGCACTTCTTTCAGTACATTTTCCTGTTAGACTCGGGGAGTTGGAGACCTGAGAATTCCCAAGGAGGATCGAGAGCGTCCCTGCCTTCGAGGAGCGGACAGGGCACCTTGAGATTAACCTAGACAGAAGCAACAGGGTAAGGAGGCTCCGGGAGAGCCTGGGGACAGAGTGACCTGCCTACGAGGCGCCTGGGGAGTGGAGGGAGGGGTGTGGGGCCCACGGCACGGAGCCAGGCTGGGCCATGTCCTTGGCCATGAGCTCGGGCGTCTCCTCTAGTGGGCCTGGTGGGAACAGTGGGGGTTGCAGATAGAAACCGGCAGGATCGTGCCACGAAGTTGGCATTTCACTGGCACTCGGGGCCTCTTGCCGCAGCATGACCTCAGGAGCTGGCTTAGTCCCTGGAATGTCTGTCATGTTGAAGAGGGAGAAGCTGCAGGCCCTGACTTGGGTGTGGCATGAGGATGGTCGGAGGGAAGTGAGGGGAGGGCCCAGCATGCAGTGGCCTGGGCAGCCTTCTACGGAGGAGCTGAGGTGTCACCTGGGCCCGGAAGAAGGGCAGTCCCGCTAGAGTAGGGAAGGTGTGAGAGGACTTGGTGACGACGGGAGAGGAGGTGACTAGGGAAGGGCTGGGTTTGAAGCATCTGTGGGATGTCCAGAGATGAGTAGACACGAGTAGTGAACAGACAGAAATGGGGCTTGAATTTGGGGTTGCGGGGACAGAACTGATACCTATGTAGGTGACAGATAAGGAAAGGGGCAGGAATTTCAGAAATAGGATTTATTGTCGGCTGGGGCTTCTGGAATCCTGTATTCCTGTCCACCCTGGGGCTGTGTTTCTGGGAGATGATTTGACGGAATGTCTCAGGAATCTAAAACAGAACCTAGCCCTTGTCTCGGGATTCCCTGCAGAGGAGTTTGCAAAGATGACCACATCCTGTTGTTTATTCGGTGGAAAACTGACAGCTAGCTAAATGCTGAACAGTGGGGACTCGCTGGCTAAAAAATGGCCATGCAGTGTAAGAGCGTGAGAATGATGATGTGGCTGCATGCTCAGTGACACAAACCATGCGTGCTACGCCCTTGTGAAAAAGCAGGTTAGGAAACAGCACGATCCTGCTTCTATTAGAGGATGTATGTGTGTTTTTGGGAAGGTGTGTGAGGATATAGAGCAAATGCTGATGGCCTGCCAATTTACCTTTTTTGCTGATCTATATTCCACTGCGGTGTGTGTGGATTATTAACACACCTTCCCCCTTTCTTTTTAATTAAAAAAAACTTTTTTTTTTTTTTTTTTTTTTTTTTTTTTTTTTTTTTTTTGAGACAGAGTCTCACTCTGTCACCCAGGTTGGAATGCAGTGGCATGATCTTGGTTCACTGCAAACTCTGCCTCCCGGGTTCAAGTGATTCTCCCACCCCAGCGTCCCAAGTAGCTGGGATTACAGGTGTGCACCACCATGTCTTTGCTAATTTTTGTATTTTTAGTAGAGATGGGATTTCACCGTGTTGCAGCTGGTCTTGAACTCCTGGTCTCAGGTGATCCACTCGCCTTGGCCTCCCTAAGTGCTGGGATTACAGGTGTGAGCCACTGAGCCCGGCCGACACACATCCTGCTTTTAATGGTGGAGTTGCCAACAGTTGTCCAACGTGGCAGAGAGAACTGGGCAGCAGAGAAGCAGCCCGTCCTTGGGAGGGACTGAAAACCAGCTCCTGGGTGCTGCAGGGCAGTGTGTGGCGGGTGTGAAAGGGGTCAGTGCCCCTGTGCTGGCCATTGTCCTCTTAGTTCTGATACAGTTGCCGCCAGGAGAGGCTGGACCATGGCGAGGGGCCAGTGGGCAACCATCCGGGGTGTGGTGGGGGCAGCAGTGGTGCTCCAGTGTCTGCTTGTGGTGGCTGTGGTGGTGGCCATGGTGCAGCAGTCACAGTGGCAGTGGAGGGCCATGGCAGCACTTTTCCACGGCGCACGGGCTGCTGCCACTGGGTGAAGGGAGAGCAGGCGAGGGCACAATTGTTCTCCTGCCGCCTCTCCTCCCATCCCCAGCGGCTAGGCGCTCTCCTGTCTGGCATGAGGCTGTGCAGGCACTGGGCACTCCCGTGGGCTCCTAGTGTGGCCTTCTCATTCCTACGTCCCTAGGAGCTACCTGCTCTCTGTTCTCCCTGGAGGGCCACGTGGGGCTGAGCGCCTCCACAGCCGTGCTGAGCTCTACCCGGCCCCCTCGCAGGCCTCACTTCTGGGGACCTTTAGTTTTGGAACCTCACCTGAGGGCCGTTCTAGAGTGCGGGTCCACCCGGCTCAGGTGTGGAGGGGAAGTGCAGTGTTCCTGTGTGCTGACAGGTCCCTGTGTGCAGCTGGGTCCGGGCACTTCTATTCTGCAGGTGCTGCGAGGTGGGGGGGCGGGTGGGGTGTGGAAGCTGGGCTGGCTCTCCTGGGAATGGGGTGGGGGGGCCTCCTTGTTGCCAGTGTGGAGCTAAAAACCAGGCAGGGGAGAGAGACTTCCCATTTCTCCCTGAGATGTACTTCGTGATGTGTCTGGTGCACGTTGAACCGCAGGTCGCTCCCCCAGGCAATGCCGCCTCGGTAGACCAAGCCAAGCGCCAGTCATGGCCACCAAGGTCAGGCCCATCCCTTCAAGGAGTGTGCTCACCTGTGCAACTCACCTGCAAAGCCCACCTGAGGAAAGCCAGGGCCTCTTGAAACAGAAAAGAGAGGCAGGCACTGGGCCCTTGTGCCCAACAGAATTTGGGGTATCTTGCCTTGCATCCTCACCGCGTATGGAACTCCTGGTGTCACATCCCAGGTCTCGCCTGTTCCTGTGGGGAGGCTGCCCCCCATCATTCCTGAGACTTGGGACCTCTGCTCCAGGATGATGGGTGGGAGAATGAGGGCTGCTTCCCTTGGGAGCCTTGGTGGAGGGTATGGGGGCCGCAGCTTGGTGGAGGCGGGGGGCACATGCGCATCTGTGGGGGGGACATGCGCATCTCAGGGGGTGCTGTGTGCATTTGGGGGGACTATGTACAACCCCAGGGGCTGTTGTGCATATCTAGTGGGGGTGGCTGTGTGCATTTTGAGGGGGACTGTGCGCATCTTGGGGGACCCGTGCACATCTGGAGGGGCCATGCATATCTCGGATGTCTGTGCGTATCTGGGGGGATCGTGCATCTTGGGGGTGGCTGTGCGCCATCTGGGGCGGCCATGCACATCTTGGGGAGGCGTGTACATCTCAGGACATGCACATCTGGGAGGGTCCATGCTTATCTTGGGGGGCTGTGTGCATCTGGGGAAGCTCTGTGCATCTCAGGGGGCTCTGCGCTGCTCCTCTGAGCTCTGCTTTTTTCTTGCAGCCTTGGCCTCAGCATGGAGGGCAGGGCCACAGCGTCCACCCCTGCAGCGCTGCCTTACTACGTGGCCTTCTCCCAGCTGCTGGGCCTGACCTTGGTGGCCATGACTGGCGCTTGGCTTGGTCTGTACCGAGGTGGCATTGCCTGGGAGAGCCACCTGCAGTTCAACGTGCACCCGCTCTGCATGGCCATAGGCCTGATCTTCCTGCAGGGAGATGGTGAGTCCAACGGCCGCTCCTATCTGCCTGGGCTTGTGGGGGTTCTGTCACCCCTGCAGTCTCTTCCGGTTGGACAAATCTAAGATTCTAACGAAGACAGAGATGGAAGCTGGCTCAGAGCCTGGGGAGATGGAGGCTGGTGGGTGGCAGCTCCTGTCCAGCCTGGCCCGGCATTGGCACCTCCTATTTCCACACACAGCATCCAAGGTGGGGGCTTCGTGGAGCAGAGGGAAAGGGGTGGGGCCCCGAGCCAGGCTGTGCTGCAGGCCTGGTTTGAATTGAGGGAAAAAATAAGCATATGCGAGAGAGTGTGTGTGTGTGCACGCATGCGCGTGTGTCTTGGACTTGGCAGAGCTAAAGTGCCTCCCTCTGGGACAGGAGCCAGGTGGTGCGTGGCCTCCACCTGCCTCCAGGCCAGAGATCCAGGAAGCAGGATCTACATCCAGTTGATTCCACTCTTCCTAGAGGCAGTCCTGGTGACAGCCACCCTGAGCAGCAGAAAGCTCAGAGGCATTCCTCACGTGACCTGGCTTTGCCCACCTCTTCTGGATGTTGGAGGTCAGGCTGGGATCACAGGGTTCTACCTGGAAGGGGGACTGCTTGCTAAGCATAGGACCATCTGCCCAGGCTGCAGTGGGGCCGTGTGAGGAGCCACGTGGCTAATAGGTAAACTCAGTGGCTACTGGTTTCCTCAGTGTGACCAGCAGTGAACCCCAAACACAGCCTGGAATGTGCAGGACACCTGACAAGAAGGCAGGTGGGGCGGGGTGTCTGCTGAGCCGGGTAGCTCCTTCAGGTGGGGGCGAGGGCAAGGGCCCCCCGCCTTTGCTGCCTCTCCTGGTGACAGGACGTCGTGCAGCCTCCCACCCTGCCCTCTTTGAGTGTGCACAGTTTGGGGAGGTTTGAGGGCGGGCGAGGGGTGTTAGGCTGCACACAGCCCTAGGTGCTCTGGGAGAAGGCCAGGACATGCCCAGGGTCCCCGGGGAGGCTGGCTTTGTCCTCGGTTCCTGCAGCTGGGCTCCGGTGACAAGCCGCCAGCTCACATTGCCTCTACACCAAGGGGCCTCCTTGCTGCTGGGCAGGAGGCCTCACTGCAGGCGGGTGCACTCATGTTCCCACTCTCGCCTCCACAGCCCTGCTGGTTTACCGTGTCTTCAGGAATGAAGCCAAACGCACCACCAAGGTCCTGCACGGGCTGCTGCATGTCTTTGCGCTCATCATCGCCCTGGTTGGTGAGTTCTTGGGTGCAGCCTTCCTGCCCCTGCCTGCCTCTTCAGGCGTTGCCAATGCCCGCCTCATCTGCTCTGTTCCGTCCCCAGAGCTGTGATGGGCCCGCCCCACCCCAAACATTCCCTGCAGGCCTGCTGGGTGCTGGCAGCCATCGAGCTGGGACTAAAGCCCAGAAGTCCCCGCTAACCGGTTCCCTTGGGTCATCTCACCCCCTCCTTTTTCCACATCCAACCCTGTCCTCCTGTGGCCTCTGTCTCTGGCCCAGGCTTGGTGGCGGTGTTCGACTACCACAGGAAGAAGGGCTACGCTGACCTGTACAGCCTGCATAGCTGGTGCGGGATCCTCGTGTTTGTCCTGTACTTCGTGCAGGTGAGACCTTCCAGCACCCGGAGCCTGGGCCACCCCCCAGGGAGGTGGGAGGGGAGGGGAGCTGGGCTGAATGTGCTTGATGGAAGGGCCTGTTTCCTGGGGTGCGTGCAGAGGAGAGAGCTACCTTAGCACAGCCGGACGCTGCCTTCCCAGGCCTGGGTGGGTCCAAAGCTAGGATTGGAGGCCAAGAGTGCCCAGCTCCCAGGCGCGCTGCGGCTCACAAGGCCAGCTTTCCGAGTCTGCAAGTGTGCTAAGGCCTCAAGCGTTGCGGTCGGGCCCCTCCCACCAGCGTGCTGAGGAGGGAGGTAACCAGGTGGGGCTGAGGGGCTCGCAGTCGGCACCTGAGCACGTGGGCGCACGGGCCCACGGGCGCGTCGGCTTGGGCCTGGGCCGACCTCGGCTGCTCCGGTTGGCCGCCGCCGCGTCCCGGAACCGCCCTCCTTTCCTCCTAGTGGCTGGTGGGCTTCAGCTTCTTCCTCTTCCCTGGAGTCTCGTTTTCCCTGCGGAGCCGCTACCGCGCGTCACACATCTTCTTTGGCGCCACCATCTTCCTCCTCTCCGTGGGCACCGCGCTGCTGGGCCTGAAGGAGGCCCTGCTGTTCAAGCTCGGGTGAGTGTCCGGGGCGGGAGCGGGCAGGGCCGGAGCCAGCCCGGCTCAGAGCTCACCCTGCCCTCCGCTTCCCGGCCGTGGCTTCCTGCGCCGCCTCGCGTGGACTCAGACACTGGCGCCTGTAGTTACGCTTGCTAAGCTTTGGGGGCCTGGGGCCTGGCTTTGGTTGGCTTTATCCTTTCAGAGAAACTTCGGGGCAATGGGCGCCCTATTCATTCCCGTCGCGCAGCAGGATCTGCAGCACAACTGCTTAGAACTGGAAGAATGATCTAGATTTTTACATTCTCCATCTTTTTCTGTCTGAGCCATAGCTGGAGATTGCTGGTTGGGGGGGCGGTGGTCATTCCGTTGGGCAGGGTAGGGAGGTAGGGGCTGGTGCTGGCATCCATGTGCCATCTTTAAGGCCCAGGATGCGAAAGGGCATTTGGCCTGTAACCCCTCGGGCAGCTCCTCCCTTCCTCTCACCCCTGCAGGGCCAAGTACAGCTTGTTTGAGCCCGAGGGCGTCCTGGGCAACGTGCTGGGCCTGCTGCTGGCCTGCTTCGGGGGTGTGGTGCTCTACATCTTGACCCGGCCGGACTGGAAGCGGCCCCCCCAGGCGGAGGAGCAGGCCCTCTCCATGGACTTCAAGACGCTGACGGAGGGAGACAGCCCCGGCTCCCAGTGATGCGCCCAGCAGGCCCTCGGGGTCCGCGGGGTGTCTTCAGGGCTGCAGGCTCCGGCGGCGGGCGGGCGAGTGCGTGCAGCTGCGTCTGTTGGAGTGCTGCTTTCTGGGGCGGGGCTCCGCCGCCTCCGCTTCTCCCTTTCTCCGCTGCTATAGCTCCCGCGTCTCTATTGCCCCCTTCAGTGCAGAGGCTTTGGTGGTCAGTCCTGGTCGCAGAGCACAGATCTTTAGAGGAGCCAGCGAGAGGGCCCCACCCTCCCGGCAGCAGATGCCTGGGGCAAGGCCAGGGGAAGCTGGGGGGCCTCAGGGACGGGCCTGGAAAGGCCAGGACAGCTTCTGAATGCAAACCAGGAGCCCCTCCAGCCCGAGTAACACGTGGCACAGATGGGCCCAGTCTTTGGCAGAGGAGCAAGTGAGATGATGTGTCAAGTATGTTGGTGTTGAGAGCAAGGTTCCCAGGAGAGGGGCGGGCCGGGCCCCGGGAGGCTGAGATGAGGCCCTGGTCCAGCTGCAGTCCTGACCCTCCTATTCTTTAACCCTTTATCCAGGACAGCTTTGCTGGGAGAGGGGGTGGAAGCCCATGACTTCAGACAAACGTCCCCTTCGCAGATGTGGGCAGCCGCCTCTCAGGCTGATCCAGACATGGGGGGCAAAGATGGGAGGCACCCTACGGCCCCTTTCTGCCGGGGCTTCCTCCCTGCAGCACCCCTCCCCCGACCTCACAGCTCAGCCGTGGTTTCTTCTCCCAGGCTCACTCAGGCTCTGCTCAGGCTGGGAGGCGGAGGGCACGAACTTTAGCATTTTTTTAAATGAAAAACTACTGCTGCTGGCTGTGGCTGGAGCCCCTGGGCTGCTGGAGCTGCTGCCTGTGTTCTGAAGGACGAGCCTTCTCTGACCTGGTGCCCGTCTTTCCGGGAAGTCAGGACGCAGTCAGAACTAGACTGGTTTGCAGACCCTCCAGCCCCTTTATGTTCTGTGTGAGTGTCCTGCTGTTAGCTGAGTCACCCTTTGGCTTCGGTCTGGAGATAGCGTGATTAGAACATTGATTGTGTTCGTCTTGGATCTGGTGACTTCTCTCCTTGTTTTCCTTGTTTTTTTGGGGGGTTTGAGGAGCATGGCTTAGCTTGAGACAGACACAGTGAAGAAGCTGATGACAGTTCCAGACCTGATGGCGACTCTTGTCGTGGCTGCCCCTTTCCTCCCCGAAGCCGCCTTGGAGAATCGGGTCGGCCTCCTCTAATGCTCAGATCTCCCGGAGTTGGCTTTTGCTGCCGGTCCTGCCTCAGGTGATGTCATTTCTGGGCGCAGGTGGTTATAGTTCAGGCCCCTCCCCGGCAGGGGCCGCCCAGGCTCCTTGGAGCCCTTTCCCTCCCCCTCTCAGCCTGTCTGGATGACCGTGTTCCTGTTTACACTGTACACTCTTCAAGGATAGTGGCACTGTGAGTTCTTTAATCAGACACCCACTTGTATAGTGAAATGTCTACATGTGGGAAAACTCCGCCTTAGACAGACTACCAAAGTACAAGCCTGTCTCCCTAACCCGAATGCTACAGAGAGAAATGGAACTTTAGATTTGCAACAAAAGTCTGTAAACTGCCCTGTTTGCCAAAGTGAACACTGGGTGACTAAGGATGACTGAGGAGCCAAAGATGGCCCCCAGAAGCAGCTCTGTGGTGGGTTATTTTGCCTGTGGCCAATCTTCTGTGAAATACAATGTGCTGTTGGTGTAACAGATGACGCAATAAATGTCTACAGCAGACCTCTCGCCTGTTACCTTCTTTTACTGTGCGATAAAAGGAGCCAGAGCTTTTAGCAGCCAGAAACATGATGTTAGCTCTAGGCCTGAGAGAAATTGGATATCTGCAGGCTGGGCACAGAAGGTAGTGATTCATGATATTGATCACGGCCTAGGGAAGGCGCCCCCAAACTTCTTACGCAGGGGGCCGGTTCACTGTCCCTCAGACCGTTGGAGGGCCGCCACATACTGTGCTCCTCTCACTGACCACCAGTGAAAGAGGTGCCCCTTCCTGAAGTGCGGCGGGGGGCCGGATACATGGCCTCAGGGGGCCGCATGTGGCCCGCGGGCCGTAGTTTGGGGACGCCTGGCCTAGGGTCTGAAAAGGCCCTGGTTGTCCAGTCTCGGCCCAGCCCAGGCAGTGTTTCCACGTGGTGAGATAAACCCTTTGCTCTCAGCCTGAGAGGGTGGCCTGGAGGGCGAGGCTGTACGTGCCTGATAGGAGCCTTGGGGAGGAGTGTCTCCCAGTGTTTCACAGGCCACTTTCCCTTTGAAATTGGCCTTTTAATCCTTGAGGGGAGGAGCAAAGGCTTTGGAACAAGCCAAGATTCCACTTTTGATCCAAGTACATGGCTCAGGCAGAGGGTGTGTTTTGGCAAATCTGGGTGGAATCGCGCTGTGGGCTCTGCACCTTGTCACTTAACGCAGCGGTCCCCAACCTTTCTGGCAGCAGGGACGGGTTTTGTGGAAGACAATTTTTCCATAGACCAAGGCTGGAGGCAGGGAATAGTTTTGGGAGGATTCAAGAACATTACATTTATTGTGCATTTTCGGCCGGGCGCGGTGGCTCAAGCCTGTAATCCATCCAAGCACTTTGGGTGGCCGAGGCGGGCGGATCACAAGGTCAGGAGATCGAGACCATCCTCGCCAACATGGTGAAACCCCGTCTCTACTAAAAATACAAAAATTAGCTGGGCATGGTGGCACGCGCCTGTAATCCCAGCTACTCAGGAGGCTGAGGCAGGAGAATTGCTTGAACCCAGGAGGCGGAGGTTGCAGTGAGCCGAGATTGCGCCACTGCACTCCAGTCTGGTGCCTGGCAATGGAGTGAGACTGTCTCTCAAAAAAAAAGATTTATTGTGCATTTAATATTATTATTACATTGTAATATATAATGAAATAATTCTACAACTCCCTGTAATGTGGAATCAGTGGGAGCCCTGAGCTTGTTTTCCTGCAACTAGACAGTCCCTTCTGTGGGTGCTGGGAGACAGTGACAGACCATCAGGCATTGGATTCTCTTAAGGAGGGGGCAACCTAGATCCCTCACATGCACAGCTTACAGTAGGGTTCCCGGGATCTGACAGGAGGCGGAGCTCAGGCGGTCATGCTCATTGGCCGCTGCTCGCCTCCTGTGCCCAGGTTCCTAACAGGCCATGGACCCATACTGGCCTGGGGCCCTGGGCTTGGGGACCCCTGACTGAAAGCAACTGAAAAACTCACCAGAGTTCATCATTTAAAGGGACCCAACAGCAGATCCTCTAATAAGGTAACAGCAGTCTCTGCTTCCCAGCATTCGTCTCCACTTTATCTTCTGTATTGTGGCTGGTCTCTCGTGTGTAGGAGCCAGAGTGGAGAGGTCCTTCCTTAGGGCCGGTAGAGTCCCTCTTGAATCAAAGCTTCCATGGGGACCTTTATTTACTGAAAAGCATTCAAAGCACATGGCTTGATACTCGTCACAGCTGCTTCCTCAGTCAAGAGCATCTCATTTCTGTTTTTTGGTGCCAGCCTCTGCATCTGTTTTCTTGCCTGTTTATTTATTTACATATATTGCAGCTTCCCGAGTAGTTGGGATTACAGGTGCCTGCCACTGTGCCCAGCTAATTTTTTTTTTTTTTTTAGAAATGGGTTTTCACCATCTTTGCAAGGCTGGTCTTGAACTCCTAACCTCATGATCCACCTGCCTCTACCTCCCAACGTGGTGGGATTACAGGCGTGAGTCACCATGCCTGGCCCCTCCCCTTTTTCTTTTAAATTAGGTTCTGGGGTACATGTGCAGATCGTGCAGGTTACATAGGTATACACGTGCCATGGTGGTGTGCCGCATCCACTACTCCATCATCTACAAGCCCCCTGCTGTTCCTCTCCCAGCCACCACCATCCTCTGACAGGCCCCAGTGTGTGATGTTCCCCTCCCTGTGTCCATGTGTTCTCATTGTTCAACACCCACTTATGAGTGAGAACATGGTGGTGGTTGGTTTTCTGTTCTTGTGTCAGTTTGCTGAGAATGATGGTTTCCAGTTTCGTCCATGTCCCTGCAAAGGACATGGATTCATCCTTTTTATGGCTGCATAGTATTCCATGGTGTATATGTGCCACATTTTCTTTATCCAGTCTATCATTGGTGGGCATTTGGGTTGGTTCCCAGTCTTTGCTATTGTGAACACTGCTGCAATAAACATATGCGTACATGTGTCTTTATAATAGAATGACATACTCATTTGGGTATATACCCTGTAATGGGATGGTATTTCTGTTTCTAGATCCTTCAGCAGTCACCACACTGTCTTCCACAATGGTTGAACTAATTTACACTCCCACCAACAGAGTAAAATCGTTCCTATTTCTCCACATCTGTTGTCTCCTGAGTTTTTAATGATGGCCATTCTAACTGATGGGAGGTGGTATCTCCATGTGGTTTTGATTCATATTTCTCTAATGACCAGGGATGATGAGCTTTTTTTCATGTTTGTTGGCTGTATAAATGTCTTCTTTTGAAAAGTGTTCATCTTTTGCCCACTTTTTGATGGGGTGGTTGTTTTCTTATAAATTTGATTACGTTCTCTGTACATTCTGGATAGTAGCCCTTTGTCAGATGGGTAGATTGCAAAGTTTTTTCCCATTCTGTTGGTTGCTGGTTCACTCTATTGACAGTTTCTTTTGCTGTGTAGAAGCTCTTTAATTAGATCCCATTTGTCTATTTTGGCTTTTGTTCCTATTGCTTTTGGTGTTTTAGTCATGAAGTCCTTGCCCAAGCCTATGTCCTGAATGGTACTGCCTAGGTTTTGGTTTTTGTGGTGTTAGACCTCATGTTTAAATCTTTAATTCATCTAATTTTTGTATAAGGTGTAAGGAAGGGGTCCAGTTTCGGCTTTCTGAAAGGGTCTCTGAATACTGAAATGACCTCGGGCACCCGGGGATAATGCCTCTCTCTCCAGAGAGCCACTTCACCTCTTCCTCCACTAATCTCCAGTTGGATAGCAGCAGGGATGTCACCTTCTTATTGGGTTTGGGACTCTGTGAAGTCCCAAAGTGACTCCTCTTGACTGAACATAGAGTTATTTCTCCAAACGAGCACATAGCATTTCCCAAGCCATCCTCCTGGACCCAGCGTCTGGGCTCTGCTGGGCGTCATTCGGGTTTGCTCTTTTTAGACCATCCCTTCTGAGAGGAAGCAGCATGGTGGAGCGGAGAGCTCTCAGTGCGGCTCTGAGTCAGTCCTACCTTTGCCTGACCCTGAGCAACTTCAGCTGTCAGGATCCGTTTCCGCATTTGTGTTTTGGAGACAGCAATGTCGCCTGTTGAGGTGTGAGAAATACATTAGCGAATATATGTGAAGCCCTTATCATGGTGTCTGGGACATAATGGACCTCCCAAGAGAACGGCATGTTAGAATGGACTCTGAGCACCTTCTCTTCTATGAGGACTCTCTCTTTTTATCACAAGGCCTTCCAGACGTGATACCCTTGTTATCAATGCCCTATCTTATTCCTGAGAATGGCATAACTCAGCTGCCAAGGCTCTCCAAGCTCCTCTTCCAGTTTCTGTTTTTAAGGCTGAAAGAGGATGACTCCATTCCCCGCTGGTTCACCTACCCATTCCCCACGTGACCGTACCACGCACGTGTGTACTGCACCTGCCTGCAGTTACCAAAAGGTACCCGTGAGGGATGAATGTCTCATCTGGTGCTTCTGAGGATCGACACAGGCTTCTGCTGAGTTTGCTGTTTGTTTCTACTCTGAGTAGCTTTTTATTCAGGTCGAGGGTAAATTCTTTTTAAGAAGTATTAATAGTTTTTAAAAATGAATCATTCCCTTTTTCCTTTCCTTCAATGTCTCAGGACTTCTTAAAAAACTGGGGGTTTGGCCAGATGTGGTAGCTCACACCTGTAATCCCAGCATTTTGGGAGGCCAAGGCAGGAGGATAGCTTGAGGCCAGGAATTCGAGACCAGCCTGGGCAACATAGCAAGAATCTGTCTCTGCAAAACAAAACAAAAAGTTAGCAGGGGGTGGTGGCACACTGTGTGGTCCCAGGTACCTGGGAGGCTGTGGTGGGAGGATGCTTGAGCTCAGGAGGTCGAGGCTTCAGTGAGCTATGATCATCACTGCACTCTAGCCTGGGTGACAGAGTGACATAACACTCCCACTCTATCTAAAAACAAAACAAACTAGGCTGGGCGCAGTGGCTCATGCCTGTAATCCTAGCACTTTGGGAGGCCGAGGTGGGTGGATCACTTGAGGTCAGGAGTTTGAAACCAGCCTGGGCAACATGGCAAAATCCCATTTCTACTAAAAATACAAAAATTAGCCAGGTGCAAAGGTGGGTGCCTGTAATCCTAGCTACTAGGGAGGCCGAGGAAGGAGAATGGCTTGAACCCGGGAGGTAGAGGTTGCAGTGAACTGAGATCGTGCCTCTGCACTCTAAGCCTGGGTGACAGAGACTCCGTCTTTTTTTTTTTTTTTTTTAATCTAGCTATCTGAGATTTTGCCAATGACTTTTTTCTTTTTTTAAACGAAATAACTGGAGCAGACTAGGAATGGTTTTGAGATTGTGTAGGTGGCTGCTGCCAGAGTCCTCCCTACTCTTTGAAGGCAATTGTGGCGTCCAGGCTGGGCCGACTGTGTAGCCTGGAGTTTCCCAGGCTTTGGGAAATGCAGGTAGTTGCACAGTAGAAATGTTTGTTTAGCACAAATCTGATGGCTAGAGGAAGTGGTCTCCTTCCTTGCTTGTCCCTCAAGTAAAC